GTAATGTCTTGTTCTTGCTTGTCACCATCCCTGGATTGAACATTTTTGGATAAGCTTTACAACTGATTTAATATTTTTGGATAAACTTTTATAAAAATTTTAAAAAAATTAAAATATCAAACAATATATAATTTATAAAAATATATCAATAGATGGAAATATTAAAATATTATTCAAAATATAAAAGCATTTTAAAAGTCAGTCCAAAATTTATAAATCATTTGAAAAGTGTATCCAAAAATATTAAATTGAGGCTGAGAGAGAGAACAATTTTCCTCCAGTATCCATGACTCAGTTATGAGAATTCAGGAAGAGGTAAAATTATAAAAGATGTATCACCTTTTCCAAACAGGTTCCTTTTGATATAACCTTAAATATTATCATGGACCTCAGTGTTCTTCAGGTTATTTGATACTTATATGAAAGTGAACCACCACTATATTTGATACTTGTAGTATAAGAACTCTATTCACAAATAGACCATAGACCTTAAAACTGAGAAGACAATCTATCTTAGGGCCCGATGTTCAACCCACCACAAATAAACTATATATTTTATGACTGATAATTCATGATTTTTAACTTTAACACTGTATATTTATCCACTACAAAACATGGAAATACCATAACACTGCAGAAAATGTTCCATAGATAAAGGAATAATAGTTTAATGAAGTCAAGAAGATTTTGCAATGGTTGTTTAAAGCTATTTCAAGTAAATCTCGACACAATGAGATCAACATAGGATATGACTGGAAAAAAAGAGTACTTAAAACAAATTTACTAATAATTTTAGAAACTTTAACAATCAGAGCAAACAGGTTTTAAAGCATTATTTGAGTCAGTTCAATAACAAGATGCAATGCTGACATCAACAAGGTGTCCGTGAATACCGATAATGGAATAGAAAGTGAGGTTATATGATGACTAGTACATTGTGCTTCAAGTCATTTGCTGAAATCAGGAAATCGGACACACATAGCTTGACAGAAAGACAGACTAACAAAGATATAGAGAGACATAAGGATAGAGAAATAGATAAACAGAGCAATAAATAAATAGACAGGCAGATTTCCCATGTTTAAAGGCATAGTTCCTGCACCTTTACTAAAGCTGTAACTATTATCTTTAAAGGACCACTATAGGCACCCAGACCACTTCATCTTAATGAAGTGGTCTGGGTGCCAGGTCCAGATAGGATTAACCCTTTTTTCTGTAAACATGTTTACCTATGGGTTAATCCAGACTCTAGTGGCTGTCTCATTGACAGCCGCTAGAGGGCTTCCGTGCTTCTCACTGTGATTTTTACAGTGAGAAGACGCCAGTGTCCATAGGAAAGCATTGAGAATGCTTTCCTATGGACTGGCTGAATGCGCGCGCGGCTCTTGCCGCGCATGCGCATTCAGCCGAAGAGGAGGCGGAGAGGAGAGCTCCCCTCCCGGTGCTGGAGAAAGAGGTAAGTTTAACCCCTTCCTCCCCCTAGAGCCCAGCGGGAAGGGGACCCTGAGGGTTGGGGCACCCTCAGGGCACTATAGTGCCAGGAAAACGAGTATGTTTTCCTGGCACTATAGTGGTCCTTTAACAATGTATGTTCTCATCATTTTGTAGTAAAGTGGTAGAATATTATATGCTGACTTAATTGCAGTTGTCACGACATATGTTTTATAATGGTATAATGGTAACCAATTTAAACATTTGTTTTTGACAAAGTACAAATCATTGGCTATTTTTCTTCCACTGGTGTAATATGAGTGATGTAGAGAAATAAAATGTATTATGTGTCTGTGTCAAGCCTCTGTGTTATAAGAACAATGAAAGAAAATGGGATATACGGGTCTCATAACAATTGTATTAAGTTATTCCAAAATGTGTGGATTGATTAATCAGTATTCCATCATCTATATATTTTACAAACAAAAATAAAAACACAGGTTCTCTGTTTTTGTTTAGTTTTTTTGTTTGTTTGTTTTTTTAAATAATTTAATGCTACTGGAATATATAAGATGTAACAAAAAGATGACAGTAAGAGAAGTGACCACATTTCTCTCTTACGGAAACAGTAAAAGTATATGTGAATTTAATCCATAAATAACAAACATCTACTTGAATTTCCATGAATTTTGATATAGGCTATAATTAACCTCGAACAACAATACTCTGAGGAAACCAAATCCTGCTGTGTCGGATGTTCGTAGGAAAAAGAACATTATGACATGTAGCTATAGCCAAAATAATTATTTTCTTAAATTTATATTGATATTTTTGCTGTGCCCATTATTTCCACAAAAAATAAGTAATTACTCCACAGGCACAACGCTATGTGGAGATAGAAGTGCACAGTTTTAACATGATGTTCTTGTATTATTTACTTAGTAACTAGAGGAAAAAATAAACTGTTTTATAATATATGCTATTTGTTAAAGAGTTTTAATAAATCACCATTTTCCTATTAGACTTTGACTTGACTTGTTTCTGGAGTGAAAGTTTCTACAGATGTAACCGTCGGAACAACTTAGCTTACTCTCTTTTATTATGATAGATATTGCAGAAACTTGAGAACTGCATTGCTGTCATGCTTGGATCTGGAACTAAAAAAGGACTTTAATAGTTGTTTATTTAATTTCCCAAATATTAACATTATGAACTGTTTAAAGAATCTGAATGAACTCCCATATGAATGTGGTGGCCTGATAGAAAGATTTCTTTTTTTTTGCTGTAGTGTGATATGTGCATCAGCATATATTATAGGTATGATTTCCAGAATATTTGTAATGCGTTAAAATATTATCTGGAATACGTTCTGTCTGGGCTCTTTTTAAGTTTATTTAAAAAACATATTTTTATAATATTCTGCTATTCCTGTATGCAAATAATTTTCTGGAAAACAACAAAACTATATTGTTTTGTTCACTGTTATCCTAATTCTGTAATATAAAATACAACCCCTGGAGATAAAAAAACAAATCCATTAATTAATACCGTCTTTTGCCTTTTCAAGTAGGCAACTATTAAAAACTTACTCTTGTAATCTAAATGAAACTTTGAAATTATTGCATGAACAATAAGAAAACATACTTACAGCTTGTTAAAACTAAAATAAAAATTAAAAAAAATAAAATAAAATTGAATATTCTACGGGCTTCGTTATGCAAAGCTAAAGATGGTATTAAAATGCTTATTTTAATGAGAAAAAAAATATGTAAGAGACGTGTCAACACTTACACTTGTTCAAGAGAATGGGAGCTAGAGCAGTATTTTTTGCCATTTGCTTTAATTAATTGGCCTCTTGTATATTGAAGTTGGACAACTATCAGTTTCAAGGAAGGGCACCTTGCTTCTCAAGAGGGGAGACTAACTGAGGCAGGTTCAAAAAATTACTCCTTTTTGAAGCCTTTACGTTTATGTTTATTTATAAGCAGTTTCTGGGGATTGGCCATGGCTCCATTTGCTTTTAAATCGGTCTCCTAACCTTTGTACCTTTTTCTTGCAGAGGATATATTTATCAATTATCCCTTTTCCATTTTTTGTAATCTTTGCATTTTTGGTCCCCCACTTTGGCTGGCATATAGACTTACTTCATTTATATTTCCTTATGCTCCTCTGGGTTCAGAGCATTCTGGGCTTATCCTAAAAACCAAAAAAATCAGCCAGCATCTCCATCTACATTTAGTCGGCTTCTTCAGGCAGTTGACCAGCCTTCTTAGATAAAGCCTCATGTTTCTTTCCCCTCTGGTGTACTGTGCTGAGGAAATCTTTTTTCTTCTGCACTTATTCAGGCAAACTGGTGCAAACTTTAAAAATCAAAGAAAAAAGTTACCTGCATACTATCCCAAATCCCAAAGCATCTTTAAACAAATGGAGGTTTTCTTTTTTTTACTAATTCCAGTGGTCATTAGATGTAAGCACATCTGCCACATCAAGGCAAACCTCTTAGGTGGGTCCCACACTAATAATTTACCTTGCTTTCTTCAGCTTCAGGCAAAAAAACTCTTATGAGACAGAGAGGGGTATTTTTCTATTCCCCCGACATACTTATTAACCCCTGAGAGGTAGACTTACATCTAATGGCCATTGGAGTTACTAAAAAAACCTTAATTTATTTAAATATGCATAGTGATTTAAGATAGTGCAAGGGTAACTTTTTTCCTTTGGTTTTTATTGTATGTACAGGGAGTGCAGAATTATTAGGCAAGTTGTATTTTTGAGGATTAATTTTATTATTGAACAACAACCATGTTCTCAATGAACCCAAAAAACTCATTAATATCAAAGCTGAATATTTTTGGAAGTAGTTTTAGTTTGTTTTTAGTTTTAGCTATGTTAGGGGGATATCTGTGTGTGCAGGTGACTATTACTGTGCATAATTATTAGGCAACTTAACAAAAAACAAATATATACCCATTTCAATTATTTATTATTACCAGTGAAACCAATATAACATCTCAACATTCACAAATATACATTTCTGACATTCAAAAACAAAACAAAAACAAATCAGTGACCAATATAGCCACCTTTCTTTGCAAGGACACTCAAAAGCCTGCCATCCATGGATTCTGTCAGTGTTTTGATCTGTTCACCATCAACATTGCGTGCAGCAGCAACCACAGCCTCCCAGACACTGTTCAGAGAGGTGTACTGTTTTCCCTCCTTGTAAATCTCACATTTGATGATGGACCACAGGTTCTCAATGGGGTTCAGATCAGGTGAACAAGGAGGCCATGTCATTAGATTTTCTTCTTTTATACCCTTTCTTGCCAGCCACGCTGTGGAGTACTTGGACGCGTGTGATGGAGCATTGTCCTGCATGAAAATCATGTTTTTCTTGAAGGATGCAGACTTCTTCCTGTACCACTGCTTGAAGAAGGTGTCTTCCAGGAACTGGCAGTAGGACTGGGAGTTGAGCTTGACTCCATCCTCAACCCGAAAAGGCCCCACAAGCTCATCTTTGATGATACCAGCCCAAACCAGTACTCCACCTCCACCTTGCTGGCGTCTGAGTCGGACTGGAGCTCTCTGCCCTTTACCAATCCAGCCACGGGCCCATCCATCTGGCCCATCAAGACTCACTCTCATTTCATCAGTCCATAAAACCTTAGAAAAATCAGTCTTGAGATATTTCTTGGCCCAGTCTTGACGTTTCAGCTTGTGTGTCTTGTTCAGTGGTGGTCGTCTTTCAGCCTTTCTTACCTCGGCCATGTCTCTGAGTATTGCACACCTTGTGCTTTTGGGCACTCCAGTGATGTTGCAGCTCTGAAATATGGCCAAACTGGTGGCAAGTGGCATCGTGGCAGCTGCACGCTTGACTTTTCTCAGTTCATGGGCAGTTATTTTGCGCCTTGGTTTTTCCACACGCTTCTTGCGACCCTGTTGACTATTTTGAATGAAACGCTTGATTGTTCGATGATCACGCTTCAGAAGCTTTGCAATTTTAAGAGTGCTGCATCCCTCTGCAAGATATCTCACTATTTTTGACTTTTCTGGGCCTGTCAAGTCCTTCTTTTGACCCATTTTGCCAAAGGAAAGGAAGTTGCCTAATAATTATGCACACCTGATATAGGGTGTTGATGTCATTAAACCACACCCCTTCTCATTACAGAGATGCACATCACCTAATATGCTTAATTGGTAGTAGGCTTTCGAGCCTATACAGCTTGGAGTAAGACAACATGCATAAAGAGGATGATGTGGTTAAAATACTCATTTGCCTAATAATTCTGCACTCCCTGTATTGGGGCTGATGTGCACCATGGTCATTGCTGCTGCCGCTCAGCAGGACTTTTTTTGTGTATTTGTATTTACTTTTGAATCACACAGCTATGTTACAATGCTGCCGTCCTGACCTTGCAGTGCTGCCCTATACTCTTTTTTTTCTGTGCTCAAGGTACATAATTAACCTTTTTCTTTTGTTTGCATTCTAATTATGTGTCGTTTTTACGCACCATTATAATAGTCTACCTTAAGCATAAGTGATTCTGCCATGATTAAACAAGAATAAGGAACATGTATGATATACTCACCATCATTTTCTTTTTATGGCAATTCTTGAAAGCGTCAGACTCCCTCCCTTTTATTCACATTGCTTTAAAACAAGACTGCAGAATAGGAGGAGGGACATTGTGTACACACAGCTGTTTTTTTATTTGGTTCATTCCTGTCCTGATGCTGCCATGAATAATAGCCAGGAAAAGAAAATGGTGATAAGTATGTCATAAATGTTCCTTTGCAATCACTTCTTATTAGTTTAAAAAAATAATTTCTAAACTTTCACTCTGAGTTTAAAGTTTTCCCTTTATCGTGCCCATTTTTTCCAGTGTTTCTTTTTTTCACTATATTTACTTTTCCTCACATCACATCTACCTCTCAACTCCCCTCATCATTTTGTCCATCCAAATAACACTGTATTCGACATATTTTTTTCTACTTTTATATACATTTTGTTTGGCACTATTTGTTTTATTAATTATTTCATTCATCATACTTCATGCCTCTTTAGCTTTAGTATTCTGCATTCTTCTCAATGATAAGCCTTTATAATATGAAGTGCTTAGTTCATACCGCTCCTTTTGGAACTGTATCCCACTATATGACTTTATAAAAAAATATATAATTGTTTCTGTGGTCTTTTATGCATCATCACATACTCAAAGCTCATTTAACATTTTATATAGATATTGTTTGACAGAGTTTATGAAAATATTATATTTCTCTTTCTGATATATACACCAATCAGCCAGAACATTTAAACCATTTCCCTAATATTGTGTAGGCTCCCATTGTGCTGCCAAAACAGCTCTGCGTTGAGTTGTGGACTCCACAAGACCTCTGAATGTGTCCTTTGGTGTCTGGTATCAAGATATTAGCAGCAGATCCTTTAAGTTTTGCAAGTTCAGAGGTAGGGCCTCCATGGTTCGTATTTGTTGTTCTAACACATTCCCACAGATGCTCACTTAGATTAAAATCTGTAGAATTTGGAGGCCAATGCAACACCTTGAACTCCTTATTATGTTCCTCGAACCATACCTGAACAATGTTTGTTTACAGTGTGGCAGGGTGCATTATCTTGCTGAAAGAGACCAATGCCATCAGGGAAACCCATTATCATGAAGGGGAGTACATGGTCTGTAGCAAGGTGGGTGGTGCATGTCAAAGTAACATTCACTTGAATGCCAGGGCCCAAGGTTTACAAGCCAGACATTGCACAGATCACAAGACTGCCTTTGACGCCTGCCTTCTTCCCAAAGTGTCTGCCTGTGTGTGTGTGTGTGTGTGTGTGACTGTCTGCCTGTGTGTGACTGTCTACATGTATGTGTCTGTCTGTCTGTCTGTCTATGTGAGTGCATGTGTGTCTGTCTACATATGTGTGTGTGTGTGTGTGTCTGCCTGCCTGTGTGTGTCTGTCTGTCTGCCTGTGTGTGGCTTTCTGCATCTGACAGTCTGCTTGTGTGTCATTGTCTGTCTGTGTGTGACTGCCTGTGTGTGTGTGTGTGGCTGTCTGTGTGTGACTGTCTGTGTGTGTGTGTGTGTGTGTATCTGTCTGCCTGTGTGTGTGTGACTGCCAGTGTGTGTGTGTGACTGCCAGTGTGTGTGTCTGTCTGCCTGGGTGTGTGTCTGCTTACGTGTGTGTTTGTGTGTTTGTGAAAATGTATGTGTGTCACTGTCTCCCTGTGTGTGTGGCTGTGTGGGTGTCTGTCTGCCTGTGTGTCTGTCTGTCTGTCTGCCTGTGTGTGTGTGTGGCTGCCTGTGTGTGGCTGTCTGCCTGTCTGTGTGTGTGTGTGCATATATGTGTGCATGTGTGTGTTTCTGTCTGCCAGTGTGTTACTGTATGTCTGTGTGTGACTAGCTGTGTGTGTGTGTGTGTGTGTGCCTGTGTGTGTGTGTTTGTGAATGTCTACCGGTGTGTGTTGTGTGTGTTTGTGTGTGTCTGTCTGTCTGCCTGTGTGTGTGTGTCTATCTGCCTGTGTGCGTGTGTGTGTGTGCATTCGTGTGACTGTCTGCCTGTGTGTGATTTTAATTGTGTTTGACTTTAACTGTGTGTGCCTGTAACTGCATGTGTGACTGCTTGTGTGTGACTTACTGTGAGTCTGACTATAACTGTGTGTGTGTGTGTGTGTGACTTTATGTCTGTGTGTGACTGTAATCGTGTGACTGTCTGCCTGTCTGTGTGACTGTAACTGTGTGTGTGACTACGTGAGTGTAGCTGTAACTATGTGTATGACTGTACTGTGTGTGTGTGTGTGTGTGACTGTCTGCCTGTTTCTCACTGTAACTGTGTGTGAATATCTGCTGTGTGTGACTGTAACTGTGTGTGTGGCTGTAACTGTGCCTTTGCGTGTGCCTGTGTGTGTGACTTTGCCTGTGTGTGTGACTGCAACTGTGTGTGTGACTGTCTACCTGTAACTGTGTGTGACTTTCTGCCTGTAAATGAGTGTGTGTGTGTGTGTGACTGCCTGCTTGTAACTGAGTGTGTGTGTTACTGTCTGCTTGTGACTGTTTGTTACTGTCTGCCTGTAAGTGAGTGTGTGTCTGTGCGACTGCTTGTAAATGAGCATGTGTGACTATCTGCTTGTCACTGAGCATGTGTGACTGTCTGCTTATAACTGAGCATGTGTGACTGGCTGTAACTGTGTGTGTGACTGTCTGCCTGAAACTGAGCGTGCGTGACTCTCTGCCTGTAACTGTGTGTGTAACTGTCTGCCTGAAACTGAGCTTAAGTAACTGTCTGCTTGTAACTGAACGTGTGTGACTGTTTGCTTGTAACTGTGTGTTTGTGTGTGTGTGTGTGTGTGACTATCTGCCAGCACCTGTGTGTGGGACTGTATGCCCGCAGCTGAGAGTATGTGTGACTTTCTGGTTTATGTCTGTAACTGAGTGTGTGTGTGTGACTGTCTGCCTGTAACTGTGTATCACAGTATTATGTGACATACTTAGTCTGCCACTCTGTAATGCACGGGAGGCAGTCTGATACCTCTGGCCTGCACTTCTATTGGCTACTTACCATAAGTAGCTGTCTCCTAAGCTCCGACCAATCAGTGCATTGCTGTGGATTACCAGAGAAAAGCCTTGACACTGTAATTGTTTTGTTTTTAAATCATTATTATTTTAATAAATCCCATATAAAAAACACTACACCCCTATACACTCACACATACATGGATGAAGGTATATGACGCTCTGAACCTGGGGGGGGTGGGGCGCTATAAGATTTTTCGCACAGGGTGCCAAATGGCCTAAGGCCGGCCGTGTGTATACATATACATACACACCCATATATATAAGCCTACATGCATTTTAGTATGGAAAAGCATATGTCTATACTTTATATATTGATACAATAAACATGGCATTGGAAAGCATTTTAAAATGTGGATTCATATGACAGAACAGTGAGATAATGATGGGGGGAGTTATGTAAAATGTTGGTAGCGAGACAGGAAACAATAATCTACATCTAGTCATTTATTCTTGCTGTTAAAAAAAATGGATCATTCTGGCTTTAAAGGTTTTTCTTTCTTGTGTATATTTAAAATCCCCTTTCAGTACTTTGATTTGTAGGTCCTTGATTGAGTAGTCAGGCTGGGTAAAATGGAGTCCCACAGGAGTGCAGTAGGATTCTTCTTTATGGTTTTTAATGGAGTGTCTGTGCATATTCATCCTACCATTTAATTGCTGGGTGGTTTCCCCAATGTAGCATCCTAAGTGGCATTTGGTGCATTGAATCATGTATACCACATTGCTGGATGTGCAGTAGTATGATCCTTGACAAATGCACAGTCGGATCCTTCGACATAGTCTCTAACCTTACCCTGAACCCCATTAAGACACAGGTACCATTTTACTGTTGGAAAAGTATAGGTCCACAACTTTATTAAATTATTATAAAATATAACAAAATATAACAAAATAGGATCATTGCCAACAAATAATAATATATATAAAACTAACCTCCCCCAATACATAAATTACCCCTGGCAATGACCCCGCATAATATATGACAATATAAACATCAAATAAGAACATACAACATGGCCAACCAAACGACCCCATTACCAACTGATTAAACTGTAGGGGTGTTCCGAGACCCCCAGGTTTGGAGCCACCGACAAGCTTGAACCTTACCCACCAACTGTAACACTGCCTAAAACCATAAACCTATCCAATTTAACCTGGCCATCCCCCGCCGATGTGAAGAAAACAGGAAAGAACCCCCAACCAAGAACAAACAGGGGAGGGAGGGCGGGATAACTAACAGGTAAGATTAGGTTAATTAAAATGGCCACTACCTAAAATGGTCAAAATATATATCCCTACTAAGTCCCACCCCCACTCCCTGACTGACAGTTAATTTACCTTTGTTGCTATGCCTACCTCCTGGCCTTGTCAAGGCACATTTCTCTGGCTATTCTGTTCCATGGGCTACATTAATGCTGTAGGTTTTATTGTTGTGAGTGGCTGTG